TGCGTTGCCTGATAAATATGAAAGGCCAAATCATTCGACATATATCGATAGGTGTACATTTTCGTTTTTGCTTATTTGTAAATATAACATGTCAGATAGGGTCTAGCTCGTCTTCGCCCGAAACGAGTGGGAGCGTGTTTGGGGCCAGTGCTAACCTAAAACACGTAGCAGAGCCAACCGGCTGCAGAACGGCCAGAATCAGCTACCGGCTTGCGGCAAAATCGACCTATGAATCTATTCATCTTTCACATCATACGAAATGAAAATCTTCTAAGCATCATTAATCTTAAGAGATTCATTTACACCCAATTCCTCTTCGTATGGACCCAAAGACTAATTCCGAATAGTTGGACAGCCAAGCTCAGTTCTCTGGAATCGGTTCGGCGCTTTACCTCTTCGCCAAGCCCTGGCAACTGCAGTCTGCAGGACCGATGCGAGGACAGGCCAGTGGCCCATTTACTCAATTTGAGGCCATTTTTTCAGGCTCTGCTGAACACGCTGATGCGGCCAGCCTCAGAACCGCCAGGATCATTTGGACCCCCTTTTTCCAGACATCCGCATGACGCTACCTAGGGGTGTGTTCTTCCGTTGGCAACCTACTCCGCAGACCCTCGTGCATTCCAGTATTTCACTTGTCTCAGACCACTCACGAAATGAGTGGGATTCGTGTATTCCAGTATTCGAGTTTCCTAGTGTGCTACCGAAGTGAACCCTTTTCGGTTTGATTCCGTCTCAAACTGGGGCCAATCGGCAGTTTCGACGTTCCGGGCGGCTTAGAGAGTCCGCTTCTCTGGGACGAAGAGGCGCCTTCATGCGTCGGCCATCTTCGACAGACTACCTCGGGATCTGCTTCGCTGCCTCGGGCCGGCTTGAGTTCACCAGATGCCCCAAGGCAACTCGACTCCCTCTGACCTGGGCCCATGCTCAGCGGCACTTGGTCCCGACCCGGCCGTCTTCAGACGTTCTGCCAACCGTCGAACACGTCGAACCGCACATCATCCCACGGTCCCTGGCTCACACAAGTTGGCTTCCATCGACATCGAATTTATGCATTACCTACAGATTTGTCTTCGCTAATCGGGGCCTGACTTAAAATGTGCGTCTGTCTAAGACTGCAATTTGCCCCGAGTGACATCTTGACCGAGCCGTGTCCTCTATTCAGGCTCGTTCCTCAGCCTGACTCCCACCCTCGGACCCTCGAGGTCATAGTCCTTGTTTGACTGCTATTTTGATACCAGTTCAGTATGACAACAATGCTTTATGTCACTTTACTGCTTCTTGATAAATTAGCTTGTGGTTTCCTATGCATCCCTTGATGTGCCATTCTTGAGCTCCCATCAACTTTGCGTGAAAATCTGCGATAAAGAGGTTCGTTAAAGGTCGATCTCACCAGAAAACGACAGCAGATTTCCCTTTCCCAGCTGTAGCTTGTATAACGAACCTGTATACTTTTCGAGATGATCTTTTTCGATTACGGTGCAACTACTCTAAACTTTCGTCTATACCTTCGTGGACATCCTACAGCTACTTCACTCTTAGGCAGAATAAATAAAACTGTCCGGCTTATCCTCATACTTTAACGCTTGAGAGGTTATGGTTTACCCAAATACATATCAATCTTGACATATTCACGTTTGTGCATGTATGTGTGTGTGTGTGTGCTAGCTTGCATTCTCAAAAGCTATATCATTAAATCCTGATTTCCAAAGGTAGCTTTGACACTGGTATAGCTACTTAGAACGAGCATTGGGCTTTCACACACACACACACATGCACACATATGCCTACAATGGCACATAT